GTGTGTGTGTATGGGATTGTTTTTTTTTAATCATCACTGCTCCTGCAAGAATTCTAGCCAATTCCCCCACTCCTACAGGAATTCTGACCAATCACACCTGCTCCCACAGGAATTCTGACTCATTCCCTTCTCCTACAGGAATTCTGATCAATCTCACCTGCTCCCACAGGAATTCTGACTAATTCCCTTCTCCTACAGGAATTCTGACTAATTCCCTTCTCCTACAGGAATTTTGACCAATCACACCTGCTTCCACAGGAATTCTGACTAATTCCCTGCTCCTGCAGGAATTCTGAGCAATCACACCTCCCTCTTGCAGGAATTCTGATCAATCCCACCTGCTCCCACAGGAATTCTGACTAATTCTCTTCTCTTACAGGAATTCTGACCAATCCCACCCTCTTCCATAGAAATTCTGACCATTTCCACCCACTCCTGCAGGAATTCTGACAAATTTCTCCTGCTCCCACAGGAATTCTGACTAATCCGGCCCACTCCCACACATTCATAAAATATAACTTTAGGCTACTTTATTTTACAGTTAAACGGGATCCTGGCAGCAAAAACACCCTAGGTCTAATGAACTAGTTTAATCTATTTTTCAAAATCTAAACAAATAGTAATTTAAACCAAGCATTTACAAAGACAACCAAGAGTTTCTTACTCTTCATAGCATATTTCTTAGGCTTTCACACCTAGCTGTTTCACAAGCATCCGTTTTTTTGTTTTGCCACGCCATTCCTTTTTTCAATGGCTTCACTTTCCACAGGTTTGCACAAGTGTGTGTTCTGTAACTGGTTAGAACAGTTTGCACAGGTGTGTGTTCTGTAACTGGTTAGAAATTTGCCTGGGTGTGCTTGGTGTGCCACTTCTTATTGGATCTCGTGAATATTTTAACACTGCATGTCATGCAAGTGCATGTTTATTAGAGAAAGGATTAACTACTTTATGGAGTTGTAACTTGGCTTTCAAGCATGTTTGACAGTCCATGCTAATGTTAACTCTAGTTGAACCACAATAAGTTTCGGGGTGGAGCTAATGCACCTTTAAGACATTTATTTATTAGATCAATTGTGTTTTTCGTCATCATGTTCAATTTGAGGGACTGACTACATAAGAATTTATTGCAAATATTTCTTTACACTTATAAATATGTCTTCTACCTCTTTGTGCCATTCTGAAAAGTATATTTTTTCTGGTCACAATGTCTTCTGTGATGTTACCTCAATCCCTCCAGGTAATTACGTACGAGGTCTTGTTTTGTAAAATATGTTCCATACCCATTTAATGTCAAGGCTGGAAAAACAAATGTGATTTCTAAAAAGTAAAAAAATGAAAAACAGAAGTCGTCTTTTTTTTTTTTTTTTTTTTTTTGAGGAAAACTCCAATGATGGTTTTATTGAGTGAGATTCAGGGCACGCTACTTTTTTCACAAATGAATTCTCAGTGTTTAAAAAAACTTCACAAAACATCTGATTTCTTTTTAAAACCCCATAATTTCCAAAAAGAAGAAAACCAAAATCCCACAAAGATGCAATTCCCGCCCAAACCCAAAACAATCCCAGTTTTCCAGATTTACTTTGTTTCATCGCATCGTTTTGGTGCCGTGATTTATCCCAAAGCATGGGGTGCTAACATCTAGAGTTCTTATACCAATGATTTTGTTCTAAAAGAAAAATTTCCAAATAAACAGCAAACTGGGCAAAAACTCCAAGATAAGAACATAATCGCTAACAGACAGACAGACAGACAGACAGACACAACACACACACACACACACACACCCCACCCAGCAATGCAGGACCAACGCCTTGAGATACGGGACCGTCCGTTAAAACAAAATAAAAACACAAATTAAAAGAAACAAAATAAGAGCAAAGACAAAACTGAAGTGCCGCCTTTGCGCACAGCTCGTATTGGGGACAACTTAGAAGAACCCCGTCTGAAAACCCCCTTCGTTCGCATTTTTGTGCTAAAAACCTGAACCAGTATTTACAAAATTGTTGATAAAAATATTCCTCTGGTGATGGTTTGTGGAGAGAGGGGTCCGTCTAGGGCTTGAAACCTGCTGGAAAAGAAGGAGAAAGAGGGCGGAAGAGGGAGGGAGAGAGGGGGATGGAGGGATGGAGAGAAGGAAGAAAAGGTCAGACTGATGGGGAAAGAAAGAAGAAGAATGGATGGACGGGTGGGATGCTACTCGGCCTTAGTCTCCTCCTTCTCTGGCTCCGGCACTGCCTCTGGAGTCTTCTCAACCTGCATGGCGACAGAAACGGACCAATCACGGGTCAGACTGGATCACCTGCACCAATCGGAACTGCGCTTCGTGTCAAGAAGCACTTTCAGAAATTCAACCTTCATTAAGTTGGCATTTCGGTCAATAAATCATTTTCTCCTCCACTGTCCTGGTTTGATGCTCTGAAACGTTTGAGATCGTCAGAACCGGTCACGTCATTCCGAACACAGGAATATAAAACTTCTTAAAGGAGTAGGTTGGCCAAAACTGGAATTTACACCGTTTCTTTTCCTCTTACCTCAAACATAGCTGATCGGCTAAGACATGTTTGAAGCCTGAAGTTCTGACGTTCATATCGAGCAACTGAGGGACGTTTACAGCCTCCGGTTTAAAATAAATATTCCATAAAAACTTCTATGTCCATCTTTAACCTTCCTCTCAGCTGTAATATCCAAAATATTCCAAACTATTCCCTAATGTTTTGGATTGTAGGCTTGCTTCAGAATAATGTTTTTGTACCTTTTTTAAAAAAAAAAAGGTAGTTTCTTTTTTTTTTTCCCCTCCACCAACAGGAAGTGTAAACTTTTGCACACAATTTTATTTATTTTATTTTTATTTCATGTCCAATTTGAAATGTTTCTTACTAAATCATTTTATTCAGAACTTTGACACACTCGGTATCCGATCCGGCCAAGAAGAGTCTCACAGTCGAAGTGTTTATTTGTGTGTAAAAGAATAAAAACTGATCCGTTACACACGTTTAAATTTTACTTACTGTATTTATTAACTCTGGATTTTAGCTTAGTGCCTTTATCTGTTTCATACATATATACTTTTATTTTTATAGTTTATTCATTTCCCTTAAATGAGGTGACAGAACTGTATAAAGTTTTTCATATCACAGAGAACTCGTCTGATTTATTTAGCCTGAAACGGTGATTCAGAAAGTTACTAAACTTTATGCAAATGTTAAATCGTACTGTTCTTCTGTAAAAGCAATTTTCCAACAAATCTTATGAGTTTTACACGACTGTCTCAAACTTGGTCTTGTAATAATCTGTAGAAAGACGTCAAGACATCAATCAATCAATCAATCAGTGTGGGCGGAGCTTGGCTAGCTAAAACAGCCGAAGCTCAGTCTATGCTGGAGGAATATGTTCCAGTGAATTTGCATTTTTACTGAAGCTTGGGTGTTATTCAAAACCGTCTTTATTATGAGGGGAAGAAAACAACAGATTTGATTTCTAGTCACTTTTGTCACTTTTATAGGCAGTCCTAACTCAAAACAAATATGACACAAACTGTTAAATTGGATTTTTTTTGTCGTCATTGCAATTTCAAGGGGGAAAAATATTGAAATATTCATCATCTGGGATTTTTTTCACTAAACAACAGGTGACCAGCCGCAGCAGAGGTCCAGAGTTTGCTCATTTTATCACTACTGCAGTGATGAAAGGTGACGTTACACACTCTCAGCTGTAAGGTTTATAAATGTGTATATAGTCAAAGTGGTTTTTAAAATAATTAAAATAAAATATATTGAATAAATTTTCAAATTCTGTATTCACATAATTCTCCAGAAGTAAGTTTAAAAAAGAAAAAAAAAACTGATGGCAATATTTATGTACGTGTGTGTGTGTTTGTGTGTGTGTTTGTGTGTGTGTGTGTGTGTGTGTGTACCTCATTAGTCTTGGTCTCTCCATTTTCTGACTGGTTCTCCTCCTTGGTCTCCTCGTTCTTTGCCTTCGTCTTTTTGTCCTCCTTTTTATCGTTCACTTCCTTCTCTTTCTGAAAGAGAGACAGACATGATTTGTCATTTCTAAGATGTTAAAAGTTTAAAGATACACACAGAAAAAAAAAAAAAAAAAGCACAGCCACATCATCAAAAAAAAGATTACAAAAATAAAGTACAGAAAAGCAGGTACATTAGAAAAGTGAGAATAAATCAGTAACGAGGGTTCTGTGAACATCTGACGACACGGAGGACAGAACTGCATCTCGGATACGATACAGCAATAACACTGTGTGTGTGTGTGTGTGTGTGTGTGTGTATATATATTGCTGGAATATAAATCAGCATTTTGATTAAAAAGTCCACACTTTGGTTCTCACCTTAGGTGTTTTCTTGGGTTTGGGTTCAGGTTTAGGAGGAGTCGGTTTCTAAGGGCAACAAAAACAATGAATTTATTCATTTATTCAACACAAAGCGTCGTTACAGAACCAACGAAACGTCAGCCGTTGTCTCGTTTCACCAGAACACACATTTCTAGTGCGCTGGAGAGATCACTGAGAGATCACGGCGGCCATGTTGGACATGAATCAACAGGTTGGGAAAATCTGAACTCTAAATTCAGTCTTTAAACCTCCAGCTTTTTAAATGAACAAATATTCAGAGTGAATATCTCTTATTATTATT